TAATTCCTATAATCCCCTATATAATCCCAGTTTCCATTTCATTTTCCATGTTCTTTTCCATTTGATTCTCCATTATGTAGTTTCCATTTTCTTTTCCATTATCCCAATATCAACCCTATATATTCCCTATAATTCCCATATAAACCCTATATAATCCCTATAATTCCCATATTATTATAGTAGTTTCCATTTTCTTTTCCATTATCCCAATATTGCAGCCTAATTTGACCCATCATGACACCTGCCTTGGCCTCGAGCCAAAGCTGTAGGGCGTCGACTTTCGGCGAGGCATCCCTGACAGCAGATGAGCTATAGTCTAAACTCCTTAAAGGGTGTCATATAGGGGATTATATAGGGGACTACTATAGGGGTTATTAAGGGGGATACTAGGAGTTTAGATTATAGCTCAGATGGTTGTGCTTGAACACAGCTTCGGGAAAGGTTGGCCTAGGTGATCGCTTCCCTGACAGACCTTAGCGCTGCAGGACTTCGTATCTGCAAGTGTGCTTCTCTACAAGTACCATCAAAATACCTCCATTGTGTTTGTGAAGTGAGGACGAGTGGCTGTTCAGCTGCAACTCACCAGAGGCTGGTGCTGCAGGGCAGTGGCGGATTTTTCAACATTCACAAACCCAGACCCCTCAAAGGATCCAAAAATGCAGCCCCCTCATGATCCCCTAGTTTTCCCAATGTAGTAATGGGTTTATACTGGGCGGGTTCCATTTTTTGGATCACAACACTGACAATTGCTCAGGCTTCAGAATTCTCAGGGCTTCCAAGCCTGCCGCCGCTGAAACCTGCCATGCAGTAATCTGATCATCTGAATAGAAAGCAACGCTTGCCAGTATAATTTCATTCATATTGTTACTATTAATGATATCATTGTTAATTATACTTGTATTACTAGGCACAAAAGGTTTTTGTTGGCTGTTGCCACCTCCAGGCCACGGGGACGTTCGACGGAGCGCGGTTTTTCCGCTGCCTGCGCGAGGTACTGTGCACTGTGCACGAGCGATGGATGATGGCTGCACGTTCACCGGCCACAACGCACCTCCGTCAACTTGTAGTCGCTCATATGGAACTTCCGTGTAGGTATAACCTGGGGATGAACAAGCCTTGCAGAAATTGAACAACCGTGCAGCTTAGAAAAGCGCCTCATTAGCCACGCTGGCTTTGATGTTTTCCCACTCCTGGAGACCAATGTACCTAAGCCCCACCAGCACAGCTTCATGAGGAAGCATGTAGACCCAGGGTCTGCAAGAATCTAAGGCATTGTCTGCTGGTACCCATTCTGGGTGGCCGTAGAGTTCCCTGATAAGGGCTACAGCTCATGTCCCAGTACCATCAGTAAGGCAACGTCCAAAGCCTTCAGCTGGCAGTCGGTGAATCACTTCTCTTGCGCCAACCCGGTCACCTGCCAGGCTAGATACCACAAAGGGGAACAAGCACTAGTCGCTCAAAGGCACTGTTGTTGCCTATTCAAATCTTGCCAGTAAAAGCAGTGGCTGCCATACCGTTCAGATGAGCATTCGTCAAATTGATGCACTGCCTGGGACTGTGGCTAAGAACAATCCCAGGTCTGACTTCTAAAAGCGTGCCAGGAGCACTCCAAGGATCCTCCAGGATGTCCATGGCGCCATGCGATAAGTTCTTATCAATCTCTTCCCAGCTTCTCACTTCAGACACTAGCACATCTAACCTCATATCTAACCATCATCTCATGCCTCTCGAAACAACTAATCGTACTCCACGCATGAGAGCCATGCAGAACGCAGCAGCACTGGGAATTAGTCCATGGCACATGGCAGTTTCCATCCGAGGCAGACTTCCTGCATTCCCTCGATTGGCTATATTGGGGATATATTGGGATGATGGAAAAGAAAATGGAAACTGCTATAATATGTAGGGGTTATGTAGGTTCATTCAAGACTCGCCCTGCAGTGCACTGCTTTTGGCGTTCGGCGAGTTAGATCTCATTGGCGGGAGCAAGGCTTGTGCAGCCCTGCAGGTGAAACAGAAGGTGTAATGTTGCTCCCTGTCGGCCCCTGCCCACGTGACACTTCTGGATTCATGATGTTCTTCTTATCGAAAAGCCAGGAATACATATCGGCTGCTCGTTTGATGAATCCAGAGGCCACCGTGTCAAGGTGCGGCAAGGCTTTGATGGTGAAACTGCAATCTTGCTGAAGGACCCGCGGTGGTTCTGTCCTGTCCTGGATCCAAGCAACTCTAGTTGGGAAGCATCACGCTGTTGAGGCTACAAAGCTTGCTGGTACGCAAGCGTCACGGCGGCGCACTCTTCATTTTTCTGCCCAAGCAGAGCCAAGATGTCAGTGAAGGACGGCTTAAAAGTTCAGTCCTACTGCCTAAAGCTGCATGCTCATGGCCTTTTTGCCATGACTCAGTCAAGCTAAGAAGCACGCTGGTCACGTGTCCCTATCTTTTGTGGCTTTGGTATATAGTGTTTCGCAAGGGCTCAACCAGTCTTTGGCCGAGCAATCCTCTGCGTCGTGTTGTGGCGGCCACTGGAATCCAAATTTCAGACTCACTTGGCACGTGTTGCAGTCAGCGTCTGAAGATCTGCCAGCTTCCAGGGATGCCTTCACATTGTCATGTGCCGTCTCTGATTGCGAAAGGAGCTGGCAACTGGAAAGAACAAGAGCAAGCAAGCCTGATCGTGTGCATATCATCATGCAGAACACCATATGTCTCGAGCCTTAAAGGTACAGCAGCGTCAGGGCTCAGGGTCCATCTGAATCCAAGCAAGCGGAGGTGATACTATATGCCGCCAAAGGGCTCACCTGGCCGCTTTTCACCTGTTGTACGCAAATCACTGCATTATGTAAGATTGTGGCCATCAGGCTTTGCAAAAAAAATATTTGCTCCTCCTAAGTTCACTTGTAGTGCCCAGCGAAGTCCACATACGAGCCGCGGGTTTATCCCCATATGCTCTCATCGCTCTCCCAGCATGCAGCTTCAGAATGTCTAGTCTACTCTCTCTAGTTAACCATGGTAAAAGCTTCCGAAAGCTGCGTCAAGCTTCACCCAAGTGCAATTAACATGAATTCAAAGTTTCATCCCATCACGTCTGTGTGTTGCTTGCACTAGATTGTCAGATCTCTGCAGTCCTGAATCGCAAGCCAGGCTACCATTGAGTGGCCAGTATGCCCAGCCAACCACAGGCCGCGAGCTAAGGTATCGCCTGAGCGAGTGCAACGTGAGCAGCAACGGCCGTCGGTGACTGTGAGAAGTCAGGGGGCAGGTATATTGGGGTAATCTTGTGTGGTTATATTTGGGATAATGAAAATAAAATTGGAACTACTATTTGGGGTTTAGGGTTCGCATCCTCAACCCTGACAGCTGCCATTTCCTAAGTGCATCTCAAGAGCAGCATGTGTTTCCACCAGGTGGTGTCTGTGGCCTGAGTCCAGCATAATTGAACACTTGAGATCGAGCGAGATGCTTCTGCCATCTCCTATCCAAGGCTGTTGGTGCTTGTGCTCTGTTCGCAAAATATTCTTGCTTCGCTTTCACATGTCGGCTCAGCCTGTTGAGGCTGCCGTCCGCTCCACTCCCTTGGGGTGATTCGGGTTGCGAAGAGTGTGATACGATGCGGCTGAACTGGCTGAATCTACTCCCCGGTTGCCCGCGGCTTCTCAAGCTTCGAGACTAAACCAGCCAAGAGTCGGTCCCAAACTCCCCCAACCAAACAGCAGCCACGTCTGCACCTTCCGCATCTGACCTCATATTTATGCCAGTTCTTGCTCCAGCTGCAAAGGACTTGATGGCAAATGTCAAAATCATGGATTCAGCACCAGGTGCTCTTCGTGTAAAAGGAAGCCCCATCGATCATCAACAGTCTGCTGCCATGCCTCGCGCAGTCATGCTGCTGTAAGCTGGCGCCTTTTATGGATGCACCGGCCTCGTAGGAGCTCAGGTACACGAAAGCCGCTGCATTTGCACAAATCATGAGCAGCATAGCAAGAACGATGACGGCTACCTCTGCTGGGCGGCTTCGTGTGCTGCGACAACCCATGTCAGTGAGCAAAGCTGACAGTTGCAAGTCAGGAACTCAACGCCAGCTCAGGCACGCATCTGACATAACGAACACGTTACCGAACCCACAGATGAAGCCCACCGTCTACAGCTCTACAGTAAGCCTCTACGGCCAAGCAGGCAGTGTGCCGGTTCACTCCATTGACACACTACACAGCCACAACATGCCACAACCCAAGTCATGACTGAACTTCCGTGCTTCCAATCTTGCAACCAAGTCTGCCAAGCCTAGGTCCGCCAAGCTACTAGCTGCCGATTGAGCCCAGGTTGGGGATGGTCCTTGCCTGCAAGTGCAAAGTGGACATGAAATGCCGCAATGCCGGATTGCCTGAGTGAGTTGAGTGAAGCTGTTGCACTATGCTCAAAATAGAGGCCTTGATCTGCAACAGCATTCATGTTGCGTGGACCATCGCCTGTAAACAGTTGAGAGCACTGCCACACATCAGCTGCGGATGCGACTCATTACTCTGCTGCAAGCGTTGACACACAGCACAGCACAACCTTCCACAACTTTGTTCAGCTCCGAGAGCTCAACGCCATCCTCTGCCCCAACAACCTCGGCATCTTCTGTTAAGCTTTGTTCGCTCTCGATGCAACATACGGGTGTTCTCCCTCCTTGTTCCAGCCAAACCACGTGCTCTGGAGATGTGGGACTAGTCTGCTTGTCCTCGTCTCCGGGAAGGGCCGTAACTGGCCTGCAGGAGACTTCCAAGTCAAACAGAGCACACTGTGCGCAGCATCCCAAGCTAAGCTTCGATGCTACTTGTCCCCTGCCTACCACCCAGCCTTAGTGTCCGCAGGAGGAGGAGCGATAGGCGCCCAGCGCACACCAGTTTGAGCAACCAGAGCGGGAAGATGACCAATCTAAGCTCTGGCCACTAAAGCCAAACAATTGCATGGAGCAGCTTACCATGAAGAAGCTGTTGACATGAGATGTGCAGCCGTGGAACGTTGGGAAGGACACCACGGGAATGGCGCCAGGCTGCAAGGCAGGACACTTCAAACCCCAAGGCAGCACCAGCGGTCTATTGCTTCACCCTTTGCTTCATTCACGGGCCTTGCATGGGTCCATGACCACCCGACCGAGCAGCAGCAAACACAGTAGGAAAGCGACCGTCGAGATAGTGGCCGCCACTATCTGGCTCGGAAATCAAACTAGAATTTTTCTGTCCGCTTTGCGTATGCAACAGGATGCTTACAGGTGTTGCGGACTAGCTATGCTGGGATCCGCTCACAGTTGTGGGCTTTCAGCAGAAGGGTTTTGGGATCCTTGATTCAGGGCAGAGTTTGTGTTCACACGTATTTAAAGCGTAAAGTAGTGGTTGCGCTATGGTACTTACCAGGCCGAGTCGTATCATTCAATCGTTCGGGCGCCGAGCATCAAACTTTTCACTGGAAGACAGATTGGGTCAGGGCTAGGGCGCAGCAAGGCCCGAACCTAAAAGACCCAGCTATTGCTTCCCCAAACCGCTTCCGATTCTCTGCCCACTTCTTGCCCTCGCCGTGTTAGCTGGAATAATGAATCCTAATGCATATATCTACTCTTGAACTCACACATGTAGCCCGGCCCTTTCTCGTTTGCAACGCTCACTTGTTGACAGCAAGAAGTGCGTTCTGCTGCGCAAGAGCAGCCATAGGGTATGCAGGGTATCCATTTCCGCTCGCGCTTTGCTGGGACTGCTTGGTCGCAATAAATTGCCTGGAGGGCTGAGGGAATAGCCTGCGAATGTTATGCGGAAGACACATCTTGAATGGTGGCTGGATGTCGCATACAACACTCTCTTGGAGTGAACCTGTTTGGGGTTCCCGTCGCCAGCTGCCACATCTGGGAAAAAAACTCGCAACAATAGCGTGGGAACGCGCACCCTCCCGTGCCGTGATTGTTGGTCATTTAGTATGGTCTTCTATCCGTTTGTGCGTCCGGCTTCGTTCTGTTATTTGCGCAGCGATTTTTCTGAGCTTCGTGCAATCGGCGATTGAAGCTTGAGGTGTGTAAAAATGTGTGGCCGTTTAGTGAGGGCCCACACAAAAAAAGGGTAGCAACCATGGAAGAGGCATACTGTATGAAGTATGATAGACTGAAAAATCCAAACAGCGTTCTCAGAGTCAAACGACGGTGACTTGTTGACAGAATCTGCTAGAAGGAGACTGGCTGAGCATGAAGGCTGCAGGCCAGTGGACTGAATGCTCGTGCAATCACAAAGCGTCCACGTAGTGGTTACCAAGCCCGACACAGCACTTGGAGCTGAGCATGCTTACGTTCAAATGAACGTCTGGGTTCCAGAGTAGCGATTATGGTGACAGCCGCAGAGATTTTACATGGGCACGAGTCTCTGGAGAAGGAGCCAGTTAACCCTCGTGTTTTAGGGTGGATGGACGGACTCGGCAAGCAGGGCGCAAGGGTGTCGTCCCCGCCGCCATCTCAGGGAGCCTCCGCAAGCGTCATTGGCGACCCGCCGGCAGAGGTTAGAGGCTTGTGACTGGCCACCCCGGGCAAGCAGCCGTACACTCAGCAATACCCGCACCGACGCTCAGGCACGCAGGCTAGACGCAGTGATCCTGGAGCAAAGCACGAGGGCCAGTAGTGCGTCCACACATCCTCCTTTCAAAATTTCTATCAGCTGTAAGGCTGTGAAGTGTTGCAAGCAAGGCAAGACTCTGCCAGCCGACGTGGAGACAGTCGGCATGTATTAGCATCTTGCAGATAAATCTGGCATCGCATGATCATCAAGCCGCTCATCAGAAACATCTTTGCTTCGACAGAACCGGTTGAGAAAATTGCAATCTCTGCGAACTCATCAGGCCGCCTCATAGTAAACCCCTCGCAGACGCGGGAAGCAGCGCAGCCGAGCACATGGTAGAGCCGCCTAATGTTGCAGAACAACGGTCGCAAACCGTGTAGTAGTACCAAAAAAGTAATGATAGTCGTACTAACAATAATACGAATACTGTAAGAGTGGTAGTAGTTGCAATACTAATCAGAATCATAGTACTAGTAACAATAACAAAAACAGTAATAATCGTCAACTCTGACTTTCTGGGCCTGGCGAGCCAGCGCAAATGCCAGCATAGCCAGTGAGAGGCCCAGGAGTGCCGTGACCAAAACCGCAGAGCAGCCACAAACGACCCGTCCACCATCATACCTTCCAGATTATTCCTAGTACTGTTACTTTTCCTGATACTATTACTGTTACTATTACTATTACTCTTAACATTGCTATTACTATCACTATCACTATCACTATCACTATTACTATTACTCTTACTATTACTATTATTATTACCGTTATTATTGCTATTACTATGACTATCACTATCACTATTACTATTACTATTACTATTACTATTGCTATTATTCTTATTTCCATTACTATTTCCCAGCTTTTTGTGGCGCTATCATTACTACTACTATTATTGGCAACTTCAAAGACTCAAGCATATTTGTTTAATGGAGATTTCCGCAACGAATCAAGTCACAAGGTCTGGATCGAGTTCGTGTACCACTCGTACTCATGGGTGGTGTAGATGATGTGGCCCTCCAAGCCCTGCTCCAGGTGAAGCGGATGTTGAGGCACGCCACAAAGGAACATGCTGTACCTGAGGTAGGTATTGATATCTTTACTATTACAGCTGTTACCAATATGTTTACTACTATTATCATTAGCTATGACCTTGTTATTCTGAGTAGTATTACTAGCTTCAAACCGTTCAGCCGGTTCTTTGCGGGTTGGGGAGTGTCGAACTTACACGATACAGCCACATCTCTCCACGTACAAATGGCCCATGCAACAACACAACTGCAACTAGTAATAGCAACAGTATTAGTAATAGTAATAGTCAGTCTTGCAATCTTTAGGCAGGGCGCTCCAAGCCCGAGATGAAGAGCAGCATGTCTGGGTTTGCATCCAGGACTTGCCTGCTCCCCTTTGAAGCTGCCAGTGCCCAGTCCGTAGTTCCTTCACCCCATGTTGGGGTGTCAAACTCGGTGGATCTGATCTCGTTCCGGATGTCGAAGCCAATCACTTTGGGATTATCCCTGTAACGAGCAGCCAAGAATCCGAGATGCTGCAACCAAACAGACTCGGGGAACTCCTCTGTGTACCAGAGGCCTTCACCGTCTGACGCTGCCTTGGCCGTGACATAAATGGCCCTACAAGAGTAATTAGCTGCAGAAATCACACGCTAAATCTTGGAAGCCCGCACAGCACCAACCACGTTGCGAGACGTGATTGTTGAGCCTCATTCGGCAATGTGCCATGACCGTGATTAAGCATAGTAAATGTCAACATCATTTACTTCATGCCATGCATGATTTGGAGACCGAGGCTCACTACGAGCAAGCCAGCATCCGTTAGAGCTTGCACAGTTGAGTCAAAAATCTCAAGCGGAGTTGATGCCTGGAAAGTCAGGAACAAATCACATCATTTGCTAACAGTCCCCAACTGCGACTGTATACTTCCAAAATTCCAAACAACTGACCAGGCTGCTTGGAGCTCTGGATTGTGGCAAAGCTGAGAAGCAGGATTAGGTATCGAGGCAGCGGTAAGATTCAAAGAGTCCAGGCTGTATGGCAGGCGCACGCAGTTGAATTGCAGATTCACGATCTTTGTCGCAATCTCTGACAGCGATCTCACATTGAGGCCGTTGTTTACGAGCATCTCCATGTGAGCGCCATACCTGAAAGGCATGGTGCAGATGCCATGATCTAGTAAGCTGGCATGGTTATGCTCGCCAATTTCCGTATGCCTATCCTGCGTGCCAGAGGCGCCAATTCACACAGGCAAGGACCTGCCGCTGCCCATCCGCAGAAATCAAGTGAGAGCCACGGACCCGTAAAGGCCTGCGCAGACAAACAGCTCACAAAGCTTGTGGGCGCAGTTCCAAGCAGCCTACCAAAAAACCCTCAGCAAACCGGGGTCCGGACAGTGACCTGCCATCAATCAGTAAAGGTGTGACCTCGGTTAAATGTGTCATAAAGAAATACGCATCCAGAGCTGCGCAGCACTGCGGCACAATACCGCCTGACCTCCTGAAAAAATGCTCATGCATGCCGCTGTGACCTCACGCATCGTCTCCGTTGCCCGACTGCTCGAAGAACATTCGGGAGGCCCGCTAAAGGCCTCATCTTGGGAAGACTGCTATGGCAGAAGTCCGTATGAAACTTGCCAGCAGCTTGTGCAGAAGCAACCACTACCCGGGTTGAGTAAAATGTGCTGCTCACTGGTCCCAGAAGCATCCTCGTCGGCGACAAGAACTGCAGACGACTGTTGCAGATGGCAACCTCCTGAGACATGCGAGTACATGACAAGTCACTCTGCACACTCAAAACAACATCTTCGCTGTGAGCAAATGCGAGGGTCCATCTCGAAAGAAGGAGAAATGGGCGCACCCAGCAACGCCAGCACAACGTTGTTGGCAGGCCCTGGCCTTGAGATTGAAATATTGTTCAGATGTCTCTTCCCCCAAAGACGAACCGTGTCACAGAGTTTGTGTTTGTTCGCAACCAAGGCTAAAAAATTGCTGGAATTGGGGGATGGCTTCAAACCTTTAGGGGGTTCGGATGTCCAGCTAGATCAACAGGTTTGACCTGGACTTCACACCGGAGATAAAGCCAAATGAAAAGTCCTGCTACCTTCTGATCAAAATTGCCTCAAGCCTGCCCTGATCTTGTTAATTCGTCGCTCGCAGCAGGAAGAGGGTTCGGGAATCGATTGCCAAGATTCGAGCTTTTGCACTGCTTGGCTGTCAGCAGGAGATGTACATGCAGGCAAGCTGCACTGGGCTCCTTCGATCTGCCATGTCCGAGGAAGTTTATTGGATCATACCTGTCCGAAATATGGGGGGAAAGGCGGGAAAACTGCTTGAGCTGGAAGGATGCTCGGGCCTCGCATAACGATCCAGGCAGTCAACAATGTCCTGCATGCGTTGGCAAATGGGCACCCAAATAGAAATCTCTCCACAGAACCAGCACGAACAGACCTGGACTCTGCAAGGTGCGTCTTGGCATCGCCCTGAGATGCTGGGGACCAGCCAGGTTCATAGATGCCCATAAAGCAACTTCAAGTGGAAGGCGCCTGTGACATCCAGGGCCAAGCAGTAGGGCTGGCTTCCTGGCACCCGCCCATGGTGTTGGTGCAGCTCAGCACTATGAAATGGGTCACAGCTTCCTCTTGCTGCACATCCACGTGGGCAGGTCCAACCTACTGCCAAACCTCAGCAGGCCCAAGGAGAGAGTTGCACATTATAATGGGGGTACTAGGGGTCTATATTGGGGCACCCTAAACCCTAAACCCTAAACCGCATCTTTGCTTACAATCTTGACTCCAAGCTGCCATGGACATGCGCGTTTCGGCATATGTCCCCGTGCTCAGGCTCCGTATGGATCCTGGATGAACTGGCAGTTTCCCTGAATTAGGGTACCCCAATATAGACCCCAATATACTATAGCCCTTATTTTAGGAATCCCCAGAAAGGTACCCCTAATTTTGGAAAACCCTAAACTAAACCATCCTTAACCCTAAACCCTATATACGCCTATAATAACCCCTAGATCCCCCCTTAAAGGTACCCCTAATTTTGGGAAACCCCCAAGTCTCTTTATGAGGGAGCTAAAGCTGAACTCGTACTAACGGCTCACGTGCTGCTCAAGGATCTCCAGCTCTGGAAAATCGTCAGGACAGATCATGGCCATGGCTACGTGACCCCTTTTTGTGTTTCGGGCTTAAGGTTTAGGGTTTAGGGTTTAGGGTTTAGTGTTTAGGGTTTAGGGCAAGCTAAGATTGGCATAATGATAATTATGATAATAACAATAGTAACAATTATGACAACGATGATAGACATACTTATGTTTTAATAGCATCTTTGTCATCGCTGCATATCAAAAACTAGATTTGAGATGCCACACTAGAATAGTCCAATGGGCTTGACTGCTGCACAGCTCAAAGCCGAGATCATGCATACAAACTTCAACTTCTTCGCATTCCAGAGAGCCTTTGTTGTGAGGAACTCACTCCAAACGATAGCCCAAACCAAAGCAGCACTGAGCGGCGCACACACCGCAGTCTACAGCACTTGCCTGAGGCCCACGCTTCTGAAAAGCCACAAAAGCGAAGCTGGGAAGTTAGGTCCCTGGCTTCTCAGCTATCTTGGAGTACATGCCGCTAAGCAGGGCACGGCACACCTGCCAAAACTACGCGTGGCATTGCTTGAAGCCAGTGTGGACTTGATTTTGGCACCTGCCGGTCGCTGGCCGGGGCCTGGCAGAACGCAGCTCAGGGATGCATTGCAGGAGTGCCGCTCCCTACAATATGGCCTCAATGTCGAATCCCGACGCGGACGTGAGGAAGGACACGGAGCGCCTGCGGATTGAGGGCAACAAGACGAGCGCACTTTCTTGCCAGAAGTGCAGGAAACAATTCCGCCTGGGTTGGGCCTTCATTCGATTCTTGCCCTGGGTGGCAAGGAAAGAGTTGTAACCAGTAATTTTCTGGCTTTCCTTCTGGCCTCTGGACGAGTTGATGATGTTCCACACTCTGAGCGACGAGGTCGCCTCTGCAGTCCTGAAATCTCAGTCAGGCAGCCTCTTGCATCATGCTCAGTAGAACTGTGGTCGGGCTTGAGCTTGTTCATGTGACATCTCTCGCCTGCATCACTCGTCCGTGCGCCATCGCTGAGCTTCCGTGTTTGAGGAGGAAGTGACTTGCGCTTGACACGCATCTGAAAACCTGGCAAGGTGCAGCTCTTTGCGCATGTCAAGTCTGCTGTCAGTATCGCTGACCTGCTGCTTGGGCGAACTCCTCCCATTTCTTGGGACTCCTAAGCCATTGGATGTTGGCACTCACGTCAAAAAACTCTCTGGGGAAAAATTGCTTCTGCACCTCACTAACAGATCTCTGAGGGTGGTTCTTTTCGATTTCCTGCCAGGCCTCTGAGAATTGGTCTAGGAAAGTGGCCTTGGCAAGCACACGAACTGCTGCGGAGAGCATTTTGGCTTGACGAAGAAGTACTGGGACATCTTATTGCTGATATGTCAAACTTATGGTCCTCTTGATTGGTCCTGGGAACGACTATGCTAGGAAGTTTGGGAGAGACCTACTCTTGACAGACCCACCTGCATCCAAGTGGCTATGTGAAGGAAAAATGTCTCCAGCGGTGGAATATTTGCCTTGGTCATCTGTCTATGCAAATAACTCTACCTGTGGTTAGCAGGCTCTGCCGCTACCTCAAGTCTTACTGTACTGTTCTTGATATCACAGCCAAGGTTTGACCATGTTTCATCTAACTTCCACTTGACGTTGTCCGTGAGCAGTCTCGCACACCTGTTCACCAGCGCCATTGGGGAGAGGGCGCGCAAGCGCCAACTAGAAAAGAATTTCACGCGCCGACTGACATACGCCAATCTACGACAAAAATAAACCATCTCGACTAATTTCCTGCTTCCATGGAGCGCTAGCTGGCACGCACTGTTTTTTCGCGCCCGCAGCCAGTCTTTCTCAAAGCCTTACCTGTTCCAGAGACCTTTGACCCTCCAGCCCACCCCCGCAAGGCTTGCACACGCCACATGTACAAGTGTATAATTAGTCGGGGA